AAAAAAGAACAGGCCACCATCTCATCTAAATTACCTTATAAGGATGTCTAAGTATTATCAGATGTATCATATACTGTATATAGTAAGTAGGATTATACAATAAGGATATGTATCATCATATAGGTGAAGTATAACAAATAAGGCGCTATACGTGCCTCTGTGTGTGCTTAGCTCCAACAGCTGCATCCACAGAGACATATTTACTGTCTATTATATTCATACAGGATACATATATAAGGAGAAAGTTATACATAGCAATTACCATACATATATCAATAGCATAAAGAAGAGAAATTCAATAGCAATCATTATAGTCATCATATTTATCATAATACTAGGAGTAATAGTGATACGATCTGTCAAAGAAGCTACGAACTGGGCTTGTTCCAGACCAAGGTCCCCTTCAGATCTGCAGACTGGACCAGAACTTAAGATTCACAAACTTTTTCTTTTTGTCTGCTGAATGAGCTGCAGACTGAAGACCAAAGACAAAATGTCTTCTCTTTAACACAGATTTTTCCTTCAAAATAAAACGCAGCTGCTCTGAATGATGGAAAACGTCCAGATTCTGTACGTAAAGATTAGCTGCTTCAAAGACAGAAACAAGACAGTTTCATTTCTGACGTTCTGCTGGAAACACCACCTTTTATGCTTTTAGACTGAAACAATTATATTATCTAATTAAACCTTGTAAAAAAAAGCAAACCCTGTCTAGAACAGCCAACATACCAATAACAATCTTTGAATAGAAAAAAAAAATCACTATAGTCATCTAGTTGAGCGATACACGTCATATAGCAATAAACAAGTTCTATGTAATCAATACAAGTTTCAGATTATATATTTATTAAGCTTAAACGCTAAGTTATTTATTATTAGTAGTATGTATATTATGTGTGTATCTGAATATAGACATACTTTCACTGCGTCTGTCCACGTAAAAGACTAGAATAAGATGGCAACAAGGTTCCTACCTATGTGTGTGTGTGTGTTTGAATGTGTGTTTATAGGCACAGTGTGTGGTGTGAATCCTTTCCCCGTCTCAGACCTGTTAATTTAGCTACAGGGAACAAATATGTTTGGGTCAACAAGGAACAAAGTTTCCCCTCTGAAGGCTGCAAGACATTTATTTTCTGTTATCACACACACACACACACACACACACACACACACACAC